ATACGCATTTTGCGCAGTCCGGTCAGCTCGCTAAACAGAGGGCGGAGCATCAGGTGATCATGCAGAGCTGCGTGTTTCCGTCAGACTAAGCAGCTGATCTGATCTCTCTCTCGTCCGGTAACACTTCACTCGCGTTTATGTCCATATCGATCAGATCCAGCTCTCCTGTTAATAATGACCGGCGGGGCTCCCCCCGTTGACAGGTCACTGTCTAGCACTGGCTTCGTAGTGCACTGATCGATTAGGCTAAGCTAACCTGTAGCTTCATACAGACACAAATAAAGCAGCTGTTTTCGCCATACAGGAAACACACATTTAAAACGGTTTTGCCTGCCGTTTTTGTGTACACACAAGCATTCATCAATGGTTCGGAAAGTGGCGCTGTACCTTAATAATATAAAGGCTTGTATTTGCGTGCATTTCCTGTTCGGAAAGTGGCAATGTACTGAGAGTGGAGGTGTTAGCGCCTGCAGGCTCCATGGACCTGTCAGCTCCGGACTGCGCAAAATGCTTACATGAAGCGCTACGTCATGAACGCAATAAATCTACCCTCGTGGGGCGCGCTCATGTGATTGGCTTAGAATTGAGGAGACATCTGATTGGCTATAGATAGAAACAATTACAAGTACAGTACGAATCGGCTGACCGCCAGGGGAGTCTCAAAAAACCCACACACGAATGCACAGCGATCCATGCACAGAAAGCGGTTTGTGTTTGCAGGTTCAGAGGTTTTAAACGGAAAACAAATATGTGTGGATCAAAAATACATATGTAAAACTTTTTTCCGTGTTTGGATTTTATTTACATGTATATGAAACGGAACACATTTGTGTGTGCATTGAAAAACACAAGTGGATCCGGAAATACAAGTGTGAATCATTTTGCGCATCATGAAATACAAGTTTGAATCCTTCTGTGTGCATGTGTGTATTATGAGACTGTTCTGAGCCCATACACTTTTGGGGAAACCAACGCTGCCATTTGAACGGCGGTCAAGCCTGAAGCCACAGAGATCTTCTGTTACTGTCCTTTCTAGAGGAAGTACAGAAACACGTAACTCTGGATTTGTTTTAATGTTTGAGGTGCAATAAACGACACAGCAGCTTTTTGGCATGATAAAACAATAATTTTCCTCCTTGCTCATGAGAGTAATCAGCTGGCAAAATTACAGCCTCGCCTACTGATTTTAATTTAACCATATATCGAGCCCGATCGTCAATTTCCAATGATTTAATGTAATTGTTTGCCTGACTGGCCATCGTAATCGGGCTCTTTGAAGATCCAAAAATCCACGGTTTTCTTAAATTTCTGATCGGATTGGCAAGAACTTCAGAATTTGTATTGACCGCCATTCAAATGACAGCGTTGTTTTCCCCAAAAAGTGGGCGGGGCCGTGTTTTTGCCCGGAAGTGACGTGGGTGTTACTCACATACTTAGGTATGATTGAACATTCTCTGAGCTAAATGCTACAACAGCATTTAGCAGGTAGGCTACACATAAATGCTAACCTTTGCTAATTGCTCAACACATGTGGTCTACATGATTTTCCCACATGTGCGGTTTAAGGGATTTTTGCAGGTATTTGGTCATAAACCCAACTATTTTATAAGATAGGAACTTTATTAATCCCATACACACGTGATAAGGAAAATGAAACCAGATAAAAACTAAAACATATAAAAACAACAGAGCTCTATTTACATATATATACACCTTTTTTTGCATTCACAGATATGACATACACTTTTCACTTAATATGATCCATGAGGGATAGTTCCACCCAAATCGGAAATACACACATGATGCACTAAAACATGTAAATACACTTGAAACATTTTTGTAATTTAATTGTTTATAATATGGTGTATACAAAAATAATGTACAATCTTGATATGTTGATGGTGTTAAATAAAAAGCTAGTGGTGACATACAAACCAAATAAAATGTATTCTGCAAAAGGTAAGAATAAGTGGTGCTAAAAGAAAAGTTGAAGGATCACCAACGTCAGGAGAATGCTTTTTTAAGGGAAGATCTACAAAGTTGAGGGGCAATGTTTGTAATTAAATATTTTTAAAATATAACAAATCCAGAAAATACAGTCATTTATTTTGGTTACACAAAACATATTAAATGTACTGTACCCAGTGTAGACTACTGTTGATCATAATTACAAAAAATACATCCCCAAAGAAGTATCAAGGATATGACTTTAGGGTCCTCAATAGTGAATTGAGTACCGAAATGTCCACTGAGAAAAATTAAATCAACATGGATTCACTTTTTGTATTTTCTGTGTGCAGAGATGAGAGCAGTCCGTCTAACTGGAGGTCAGGACCGCTGCTCTGGTAAAGTGGAGATCCACCGTAATGGCAGCTGGGGAACGCTGTGTGATAACTGCTGGAATAAAGACATGTCCTCCATGGTGTGCGCCATGCTTCAGTGTGGCACTGAGCCAGAGAAATTCACCCAGTTTGTTCCTCCTCTCGCTCACAACAACGGGACACTGTGGTACTATTCATGCCCAAAAAAAGTGCAGAATATGTGGCAGTGCATTGAGTTCGTCAACAAAACACACCTGTGCATTTCCTCAAAAGCCTCTGGCGTCATCTGTAAGGGTGAGTGTTTGTTAATGTCCAACAACATCAGTATTATAAGATAGGTTTACATTGGTTTTGTAGAAAGAATCCAGACCTGAGTACATCATAATTACATATATCTTTATATCAAATGTACAAATCAGGACTCAAAAGCAGCTATAAATATTTATTTTATTCATTGACTAAAGATCATTTTACTTTGGATAATTATCAGAAAACTGTTTTCTAGTCTTTACATAGCCTTAAAAATGTTTAAACATGTTGTTCCAATTCTGCGGTTCAATATTAACAATATTAACCTCACGTAATTCTTGTAGAAATATACAAATCATTTAAAGCTCATTCTGCCCATGTAGATAAAACAGCAAAATGGTTGTTGTTGAAATAAAAAATGTGGATCTTGTTGTCCTGCAGGTTCCCTAGGTTTTGCTGAAGCCACCACAGCAGCTGGGTCAACTGTAATGACCAGTTGGACTACTGGTAAATACGGAGTTGTGTATCTCAGTTCAAAAACACATATGTTTTAAAGGTCACAGGATGGTGCTCAAACAAACACTGAACATTATTTTTCTTCATTAAACAATCAGAATGTATGCTCATTTAAACTTTCTTTTCTTTCTGTACATCCCAAAAGGTGTGACCCCAGTCAGTCGTACAGAAGGCTTCTCCTTCCCGTCTCCAGAGCTGCTCAGCACCATGGCTCTGGCTCTCCTGCTCCTCGTGGTGCTCATTACCAACTCAGTGCTGTGCTGCCGTTACAGGAGGAGACACGGTGGGTCCTTCTCACTCAGACACAGCCATCCAGATTCAATTTGTGATTGTAGTACCTTCAATCTAAAAAACAAGATGTTTCAGGAGTTTTGAACTAAATCACTGAAATGTTATTCTGGTTATGTTTATTATTGTGGCTTTGGTTGCTGACATCTGGCGTTCTTTATAAGATTAAAGTGAATGAAAAACAGGTTTGCAAACTTTTTGGAAAATTCTCCTGATATGACGTTTTTGCCTTCATTGCCTTCTTTAGGACGGAAGCGGAGAATATATATATTTTATTATTCAATTAGTAATTTCTTTAAATTGATAACAACCTTATAATTTAATACTATAATTAGTAAACAGTATAGTATGGTTGTATAGTTTTCAACCATATTTGCTCATGTTGTCAAATATGGGAGAGGAATATAATTCCTAATCATCTTTCTTTGGAATAAATGCATCATTAATCCATATCCAGTATTATGTCTGAAAGGATCATTTATCTCAACAGACTACATATTAACACATTCTCCATTTTACATGTCATGAAAAGATCAGATGTACTCCCATCTTTCCATTAAACTGATACCTCTAACTATTAGAAAGTAGACTCTGCCAACAGTCATACACAAAGCAGGAGTGAAGTAATTCTCTTTATAATTTGGTAATTGTGTCCACAGCGATCTTGCTCCAGCAGACACGCAGCAACCCCCGAATCCCCTCTGAACATCATAACAATGGCTACCAGGACTCCGTCGACCTCGTCAAGGTCACTCCCAACCCACTGCAGAACAAAGGTAAATAAATAAATAGATATAGTGATAAATAGATTAAACCTACATGTGTAAGCAGAATAGAATAACCTGCAATTTAATACAATTTAGTATTTTATTTCTTTATACCTGACTAATATATGTGTTTATATACATACGCCGTGTTGAGATAGTTGCATGAAATCATCTCATTGTGTCTTTTTTCCTTTGTTATTTTTGCCCACAAAAGTCCCCTCCAATCCCAGGTATCTGTGGACCCAGCATAGTAGTGTTGACAGCTCGTCAGTAGATACAGACTATGAGCAGTATGAGCAGAGCAATGACCCGTCTGTCCCTTTATCCACCTTTCGGAGTGAGCTACGTTCTTTTATTAACATTTACATTTGTAATTATTCCTCTGTGTTTCTCAAGCTTTGTCTTCTAAGATGGTGTCTTGCTATGTTGCTGCATTTTGCGGTTGAAGCAGCTCTGCCCTTTGTGTGTGTGTGTGTGTGTGTGTGTGTGTGTGTGTGTGTGTGTGTGTGTGTGTGTGTGTGTGTGTGTGTGTGTGTGTGTGTGTGTGTGTGTGTGTGGTCTTTGCAGATCAATGCTGTTTGCAGAGAATGTTTGCAGTGATGGTTTTTCGATTAACGCACTCTCATTTTGTTTGCAGATTCTCAGAGGTTCAGAACCGAAGTGAACCCTTTCATGAGGCCTGCAGGTCTCCACAGCCTCTCTGAGGAAGGTGAGTCACTGTCACGTTTGCAAAGATGCCACAGAAACAGAGAAGTTTCACTTTGCAGATCTCAAATATACAAAAATATTTCCACTGTATACTTTTGGTATCATCAGAGGATGGCTCAAGCATGAAAACATAAAATCAAGGAAATATTTTAAGTTATAAAGGCTTATTTTGGTTTTCATAATAAATGAATGATGACGTGTTCAAATATTCCCAAAGACACACACAAAACAACAAAAACAAGCAAGGTCATAGAAAATACAGTCGTACTCATCATACAATATGTGCAATTGGATTAATATAAGTATATTATTTTTTTCAGATAAAAAGTAGCTGTTTCCAAAACACATGAAAGGTTTCAGCTCCAAAAGCCACATTATGTTTTACAGAATTTTCCGATATGTTTATCATTATATAGTTTTTTGTACTTTCCCGGTTTATAGTATGCTAAAAGTCAATATTTCTGTGCTGAGGAAGTTAACCCTGTATTCAAATGACTGCTGCTACATACTGAAACCTTTTAGCAGTGTTCAACAAAATAATACAATAAAATTCTTCAAATAAGAATTACTTATTTTGTACACACTGTCAATGAGCCTGAAGCATCGTGGTAACGAATGTACAATAGCATAGCGACACACTAAACTTTCTTGGTCCAAACATTACAAACAATTATTAACATTATTTAATTGTTATTATATTATTTAAAAATATATATAAAAAGCATGTTTATAGCTGTTAATTATTCTCTCGGTTATTCTATAATAATATTATTATTCCTTGTCTTCAATGTTATTGTCCTGATTTAACTCCCCAGCCCCTGAACCCTCAGAAGAAGTGATGGGAACGTTTTCAGGCTGTATCGGCGACGCAGACGCTCCGTACGCCAGAGTGTCGAAGATGATCTCAGTGGACTCGTTTGATACGTCCAGCACCTCCTCAGGGGAGTGCTACGACAACACCAGCAATAACTACATCACCCTCCCCCCCGGTCAGTCCTAGTCATTCACCTGCTTCCTTTCAAATAGTCCCTTTTTTTCTTAAGCTTCCTCCAAAGAAAAATGGTAATCATTAGAGGGAATTAACTATAGTATTCGTACCCCATCATAAACTCCTTTCTCTTTTAGTCAGGTTTAGTAATTATTGGTGAAATGAGCACTGTCAGTATAGAGGTGGTCAACAGGGATTTTGTGTAAATTCCAATGGTTAAAGGCAGTAAGATGAATTCAGTGATTTATTTTGAATAGCCTACAGGTGGGGAGTCGAAATTGAATTAGCACAGGTAGGTAAGCAAGCTTTGCCACTATGATGAAAATTGTGGCAATAGAAACCAGGTGTGTGATTGGTTGACGGGGACGGAGACCACTTACTCATTTAGTTAGCAAAATAAGATAGACATTTCCTATTTTCAAACAGATTTAACAACTTAAGGTTACACTATATTTTGATGTTTTTACTTATGATCATATATAACCCTGTCTAGTCTAGAAACTGTATACATGTGCCTTTTATTGTCACGTTTGGTCTATTTACGGGGACTGTTGCAAAAACCAAGAAGCTCATAAACATCAGATTACAAAACTTACATTTTAATATGTTTTAATATTTTGTACCAAACCATGGTTTCAACAAGTTACAAAAGTTCCTTTTTTAGCTGGAGTTTGTCCCAAAACTTGCTGCTGTATTTACACCGACACCTTAAAGGAGCCGCTTTCATCTGAGAGTGAGACCACAGACATGTAGGGGTCAGTTTGGAACTGGACCAGGGAGAGAAAGGATCTCATCAGGGGGAGAGGAAGCAGGGGTGGAGGAAGGAACAGGTGTGTGACAGGTGAGTGGCTGAGGACATCTGGTGGACAAATGGAAAACTGCTACAGAGGGGTCGTGTTATTGGTCACTGAAGATGGGATATACTACTGGAAATAAATGTGACCTTCAGATCATTTTTAAATATTGGGAAAGGATATTGCAGCTCTTTTTCATTCAAGACAAATAATACTATCGCTGGAGAGGGTTTAGCTTTTTTCTACTACAAGATTCATTTACACTTTTTGTACTGTAACTTAACTAAATCTGGGGGTGTGTTTTTATCATAGAGGCAATAAAAACAAAGTCATTTAATGGGAGATACAGCGTCCCGCGATTCAATAAAGTCAGACTGAAGCACTCCTTAGTGCTCCAGTCGATCCTCTCAGTAAATACAGAGCTGATCCCAGATCAAATGCATGCTGAAGGCTCTTCGAGCATGTTTTCTCTCAGTGATTGTGATGTTATGTTAAATGTATTTTTTTGTCATGTATTGTGTCTTTTGATATTTGTCCATGTTGATGTTGCACATGGAGCTGCTGTAATGCAAGTCCCATTTCAGACTTAAAGTATTACCGTCTCGTATAAAGTCTAAAGCCAAGCTGAAACTGCCTTAGATCTAGATCTAGTTTGATCCCCTGGGATGTAACACATTGCAGAACCAGAGCCGGGTCAGTCGTCTGGTGTCAGCGATGCTTTGGACCCTTCACGTCTCGACTCCAACAAAGATCATCTTCACCCCGGGCAAACAGCAAACCTGCAGAGCTCAGGTGAATGTCACCGGATGTTACCCATGTGGAGAAACTAAGATCTACAACATGTGCTGATCTTTTTTATTGTCTGATCATTAGATGATGAAGGAGACGGCCCCATCTACTCCCCTGTGAGCCCCGACCAAAACCTCTCATCTGATGATGACTACGATGACATTGGCACCTTGGAGTAACCGGAAGAGGTTACATCTACTGAAACACAGTGGGACTGAAGCTGCAAACTGCACTGAAAAGAACATGTACTTTAAGACCAAACACCTGTTTGAACTGAGAGATTTATAGTTATAAAGAAGTCTATACATTGAGGTTAAAACCTGGATATACTTGATTAAAACAGGGGAATCTAGGGTACATATTTTAGCAGCATATAAATGTCTCCGTTATGTGCAGTAGTTCACATCGAAAAGCCTTTGAATAAAGAGGAACATTTGGCCTCAGCATATACAAATGTTCTTTTCTACCACATTCTGACCCAGATTTCATGACCAATTTTTGACCTGCAACTTACCAAATGACTGTGAACCACTATAATAAGTTCAATGTACTTACCTTGATTAACTCCCTGTAAGTAATCCATCATTATGGACATGGTGTTGCCTTTTTAGCCTGTTGTCAGAACAAACAGTTTGAAAAGACTTGAATTGTTCTTTCCATGATGCTCAGACGTCCATTGAGATGTGGCTATGCGAGCATCACCCTCATGCATTCCTGATCAAAAAGAAAACCAGGGGACAAATGAGAGGAATGTGGATGCTTTGAAAAGGCCACCTGATATCATTTTACAAAGAAAGAGCCAGTTCGCTGCAACTATCATTTTGAAATGCAATGAGTCTGAATGAAAACCAAAGACTGCCTGGAAGGGGGAAATCAAACTGAGGATTCTTAAGGAGGAACATTTGAGGAGTTCTTTGAATGTAGAAGCATCTGTAACATATGCATGTTTTGTGTTTTTCATATACAGTATTATTTAATCGATGTTAGCAAAACAGTTTTCTTTAATAACTATTACATTAATGTGTGCCAAGTGGATTTACAGTAAGTACAAGAAAACTACTGAGTTTGGTGCACTGCATGGCCAACAGTATTTGTACACAAACATTACATCCAAATGTGATTGTTGAATTTGTGATTACAAAATAATGGATATTAATCTGCGGCTCTAAAAGATGTTAGATCTGCACGAGTTTTATACCATTCAATTCTGTTAGCATTAGTGAGGTCAGCACTGATTTCGGACTGTAAGGCAAGAGAAAGGCACATTTTTTAACATTTCATTTCAGTTAAAGAGGCCCTGTTTGGTTTCCTTTTCCTGTAGTGTTTTGTGCATGTATAGTAAATGGTCTGCAAGGCTCAAACCCCTGTGTTCTCTCCAGAGGGAAATGTTTCTCCTACCAAGAAATTCAAAAGGTTTCACCTTTCTTGCCACTGTATTCCAGTTCAATGATCATTCTAGTTAAATTACATTTTACACATGTTGCCAATATAAGTCCCAATCTATAAATTCATTTAGGAAGGATAATTTATTTTTTATCTTATTACATATATACAAAGAAATCAAATTAAAAATCATTTTTTAGTTTAGTAACAACAACATGTACATCAACAATTTCTCTGGATCCCTAATGTGACAAAGACCGCATGTACTTTACAGATCCTATTATAAAGATTAGATTATCTCTTAGAGAATGGAACGCTGACATTCAGCTCACTTGTATTTATGTAATGTCCGTTTTTAAACAAGGTCACAAACTAATGGTCCCTGTTTAGAGAAGCCCTCCATCAGTGTGTGGTGGCACTCGTCCACCACCTGAGGGTGCAGCAGAACCAAATATATCAGACAGAGAGTTTCATTTGAGTTGATGAAGAAAACAACATTTAAACCTGGAGATGATATTTGAGCTCCATGAGAGCAGAATAATTCATACTTGATCAATTGTTTAAGTTGAAGGTTTGGCAAAGCTCGTGGGACACTTTTCAAAATAAAACAGGAAACACTGACAGATCGTTACAAAATATCATTCATGGATTTATACTTTTAATTTAATTATTTATTTCTATCACAACAAAAAAATCCCTTCCTACCCCAAATGGAGCAGGCTGGCTATGCAAGAAAGATCCATGTCCATGTTTATGGTTTCAGCTTCAGAAGATAATATTTAGTCTTTTTACATGGATGACCTATTGTGCTTTTGCATACAGCATAGCCCGAAACATTCTCATTAAAACAATTGCAAAAAAAAGAAACCATAAATGTAGATGTATATAGCCAAATGTATATGATACGCTCTGCAGCCTACTGTGTGTAACTAGAGGTATTTTCTGGTACACTTTTATTAAATAATAAGATAGTAAGGTATCGTTGTCTGGTAGATGATTGTCTTCCCAAACTGTTGTTCAAATAATGTGCAATTGTTTATAACACATCACTCTCCAGGTGTTTGAAAGGTGTAATAAAACGTTGGAGTTCTACCACAAGGTGGCACTGTAGGCTTGTAAGTTACTAAAGGTGCAGCGATGGCCTTACACATAAACTACGGGAAAACAAACATTTAATGCCATCAAATATTTGCCAAATAAATGTTTTTGCAGCTGTAATACAATGTGACACATACCCTTTCTTGCTGAGCGAGGATAAGTCAAAACAATGCACAGCGAAGAGAGGGGGACTCCGGATCCTGATCAGGGGCCAAAATAAACTGAGTGCAGTCTGAAACCAGACCTGGCACGGCCCTTCTTCTCGGTCCATTAAATGTGCAGCAGCTGCAGAGCATCAACACTTCCTCCTGACGCTCTGAATCAAAGTAATGTCTTGTTTAGCAGAAGCAAATATGACAAACTGTTTCAAAAGCAACTGTAACACTTTAACAGCGTGTGCAGAGAAACATGGATTAGCTGCAGCTCTGCTAACGTGAGAAAACGGGAGTGATGATGCATTAGACTGATAACCAGCAGAATTGGGTGTTTTTTGACTAGAAAGTATTTGGCATGAGGATGAGGGTTGGGGTGAAGATGGGGGGCGNGTGGAAGGAGATAAAATGTGTCTTATAGAATCATATATTACCCCTCAAATTAAGTCCAGAGCTCTGCATCGAGATAAACAGGCGAATTAACGATCAGATCTCCTTATGAAACTCAATCTCTTTCACATGCCGGAGAATCCTGCACACACACACACACACACACACACACACACACACACACACACACACACACACACACACACACACACACACACACACACACACACACACACACACACACACACACACACACACACACACACACACACACACACACACACACACACACACACACACACACACACTCAAACCCACACACCACTTAACAGATTCCATCTAAAAGTATGCTCTTTGATATACTGTAGATCCTCCTCCCGATGTTTGCTTTTGTTTTATTCCGCCGCTCGGAAAGATGGATAAATCAGAATCTTAAAATCTGTGGATTTACAGTCCTGATTAACATCAAGGGAGAGACATGCTGTACACTAGTATTTCAAGTGGCTAGTAGTATTTGAGGGATCAGAAGATCAACCCTCTGTTTTTACTTTGTTCATTAAATCAGTTACACACAAAGGATTACGGCTCCATAAATCCGTAAATTGCTTAAAGTGTCCCGACAAGAGATCCTGCCTGAGTTTAAACTTTTGAACTCTGTTTGGTGCAGGAGGCCTGGACACAACAGTACCTGTGTATCCAATGTGTAGCAGCACGTGCTGGAACATTACAGCTGCTGCAGGCTGTGTTCAGGGCCTTTATAGGATTTTCATTCTGTAATAAAAAAAGAATAAAAAGATTATAAAGAAAGCAGTTTTTTGGGGGAATTTTAAAATGAGAAATATGTGCTGTTAAAGATCTATGTTTGTATCAGTAAAATGTTCTAAAGTCTACTAGGTTTTGACCGTTTTGACCCATATCCCGTTTCTGTTAGTGTTTGTTCTTCAGAGGACGACCTCATTACACACCTCTGGTCATGTGATAACAGGTGTGTATGGGAGATGCCAAATGTGGTTGAAAGCTCCAGAAAAACTCAAATAAAACGATAACAATGTAAAATGGGTTTCACATTTTCCTCCACCTGTTTTCAAGCTTCTTGCATTCTACCTCTACAATCCGCCTGTATGCTACTACATGCACAGCACCAAACAGCAGATAGACAGTTAAAGTAGCTTCTGAACTCAGTGGAGCATGCAGCTAAAGAACATACATTTACCTCAGGAGTTCTTAGAAACCACAAAAAAGGGGGGACAATTGCACCAGTACAAATGAAAGATAACGTATCTGCTGGTTGTGTGAGTAAGCAACTGTTTTCTAACAAGATTACCAAATAAAGTTAAAGGCAATAATCTGTCAAAATGACTTTCTTCAATGTAACGAGTTGCCCTTTTTGGCTAAATCGTTATTTGGATCAAAGCTCACACACGTCTTTATCTTTTTATTAAGTTATAATGCACTTTCACCTTTATAAAGCAACCACAGTTCTAAAAAGTAAGTTGTTTCAGCCTCACATGTAACATGTCTGACCAGTTTCTTGCCTCACAAGTGATCTTCAGCTCTGTGTCCTGGCCCTTCTCATTGAGGGCCATGTTGCAGATGGATCGCAGCCAGTGAAGGCAGTGAGGTCATCGGTTTAGGTAGAGCCCCAGATGGTTACAGAACCAGAAGAAAAACTCTCTTTAGCTCTTTAATCAAACCTTTTTTTCTCCCTATACTAAAGCCATTAAATCCACTAATATTCCTCTCTCCTGATTAGTCCCTCTCCCAGTGGATCCTGTAGGACGTTCGTCCTGCTGCGCTGAGGCTCGCTGCGCTTCGAGGCCCGGTAATAGTGTTGATTACTCCTCACTCATTAGGTTGCTTTCACTGCCGCCGCTAAGCCCTCATCAGGAGGTTTTTGGCTGAGCGGCCGGGCAGGGGCCCTGATCCAATTCACCTTTAAAGTTCAGTGGACCTGTCTGAGTTGCCATGGGTCAGTGACTGGCTCTCCATGCTGTGCACTCCCAGAGAGGCCCTCATTACCTAATTTCCTGTTACTACTACTGTACCCTGTATTGAGTCTCATGGTTTGGTTGTGTAAAGTTTGAAATGTTTGTCACAGATGGTGTTCTAAAACTCTGGAATAAAATCTTTATGTCTTTAATAATGAACAATTAACCCGGGTAACGACTCAATTAGGTGTGAAACTTTAGATGGACCATAGATCGAAAGATACTAGGTAACAACAAAAACATTATTTCTTGGAACACGTCATTTTAGAAAACACATTGCCAGCCACTGAAAACGTAACACAACAACAACAACAACAAAGAAAAATACTTTTTGATAATGATGGACAGAACCAAAGCCAGAGGCAAGGCCATTTTCTTTATATAGCACATTTCAACACAAGGCAATTCAAAGTGCTTTACAAAAAAAACATTAAAAGAGTTATATTGCAAAAGAAATAAAATTAGAAAAAGACATTTAAAGTAAGTTAATACAATTATAATAAAACAAGCTTGAGTAGAATAATACAGGTATAAAGTATAAGAATGAAAGTTACAGCGCACTGTAAGATATTATTCGTTTTGTGATTTAATAGAAGGCAGTATCACATCAGAATTATTCTATATAGTCTTTCTGACAAAACCTTGATTTTCTATGGACTAAAATCACTTTCAACCCATTTTGTATTAATATAGCACTAACCCAAGAATAAATGTACCCAGTTAATATATATATATATATTTTTTTTAATTAATTTAGAGTTATTTACCCAGTTGAAGGTATGGTTATTTTTGACCCAAGTTTGACCTTAAAAGGTGCTGGTTGTACAATGCGTTTAAAACATTCAAAACAAAAAGGAATATTTTATTAACTATCAAAAACAAATAGTGACATGTAAGTAAAAAAATAAAACACTATGGTGGATAAAACAGTTTGCCAAAATAAAATGTTTTGTATGTGGATTTGTAATCCAAAAGTGACCCTGACAAATGGTCAAAGCAATACTAAGTGTTAAGTGTTTTTTAATTATAGGTACAATAAAATGGCCTTAATGTTGTGATGGTTCCCTAATGACCCTTGTTAACTAGGGTCTAAGATAAGTTCAGAAAATATTTTTTTGTAAAGATTATCCAATATTGCTCAGTTTTGCACCTCAGGGCTACCGTACCTCTCCCATTAGACACATTTATGAGTCTGTAAAACAAAAACGCATCCTGACTTGAAAGCTGGCCTGGCAGTAGCTCATTAACCCTTTTTTCTTCTTCTTAGCACCTCGCTGCAGTT